TAGATTCCACCCCCGTTTCTCATATCCCTCCCCCCTCTTTCCTTCATTCGATAACCCCCATTTTCCGTAAATGTAATTATCTAAATCTGCGCATCTTTTGCTGCAACTACGCGCTTGCTTGGTAGTGCACGCATCTGCAGACTACAATGGAACTGGATCAATGTATTGAAGGGAAAAAAAGGGGTGATAGATTGAAAGAGAGTTGAAATGGGGAAACAACAATGACATTGATGGTGATGGTGATGGTAATGTATGCATGTATGGTATGTGTGTGTGTGCTCGTATTGTTATTGTATGTATGTGCTGTATTTGTTGTATGATATGTGTTTGTGTTATGTCTGTTATGTCTGTTATGTCTGTTATGTCTGTTATGCCTGTTATGTGCATTTGTGCTTTTGTGCTTTGTGTCATGTACTTTGTGTTATGTGCTTTGTGTTATACTACTGCTACTTATGTGTTATGTGTTATACAATGTGCTATGTTATGATGCTATGTGCGATGTATGTGCTATGCTATGTGTTAATGTGTTATATTATTTACGTGATTGAGCTCTCTTTTTGTATGAATGTTTTCGTTGTACGATCAGTTCTTTATCGTTCTACGTTATACGACGACGTAACACAATCATATCATTGGTTCACTTGTAAAGATATGTACGGTATGTAATACAGGAATCAGCCTAGACACAGTCGTTGTAAATTTCACCAAATTGCTTTTTCATGTCCTATAGATTTGTCAATAAGGTAACCAAATCGATACGAGTTTTGCCATTTACGGTAGAAAAACGAAATTAATAAAAAGGTTTAAGGTAAAAACGGGTGATTCCGGAAAGCCAAGCAAAATTGTACTTTTTTTTTTTTTTTCGGAGAGAATGTTTATAATAGGAGAATATATTGACAATCTTGATTTTCATCGTAGATTGCTATCGTTTTGTTGGTGTTGCTATTATTATCATCAGTTGCTGTTGATTTGCTGTCGATTACAACTTGCTTGTTCTATTTTTGCAGCTTGCTTCCCTTCCTCTACCCTTCTGCGCCCTTTTCCCTTTTCCCTATCCTTTTTCCCTATCCTTTTTCCCTATTCCCTTTTTCCCTTTCCCATTTCCCTATTCCCTATTCCCTACCTATTCCCTATTTCCCCTTTCCTCTTCTTTCCCTTCCATCCATAATATCTTTCTAAAAACTTTTCTTTATTCCTTATTCTCCTCCCTACGAATCATCACATCCTATTTCGTCATTTGTGTTCTCCATGTGGCAGCTCTATTTCGAAAAGATAAAGAAGAAACCGAGGCCTTGTCGTATCACGTATAGTCTTTTTTTTTTTCTTTGTCTGTCTACAGTCTTGTTGACCCGAACTGTACGCCCTAAATTACATAAATAAATATAAATAATAATACAATTGTTTATGATTATTATTAATGGTAATGTTATTTATATACACTATTGTATGCCTTTGAACGTATAGGGATAAAGAACGAGATATCACATTAATACTATCTAATTAATTAATTCTATTCAACTGCATATTAAGGTTTGTATTATAAACATGCCACTTTTTTTACAGTATCAATTATTTTGTCCTACTTTATTCTTTCTATTCTATTCTTCTATTATTCCTATCATGCATGCACCATCGCACCCGTCTCCCATCACCCATCAGTCATCAGAAAAACTACAAAAACCCATCCACTGCCACCTGCCCCCATCCTTTCGAACTCTTAACTCGTTTCTCTCATTGAGAAAAAAAAATTATTATTATACATTTCGTCATAATATTATTTATATAGGAAAAAAAAGAGGGTATTTTATAGATTTGGAATTCCCCCTTTTTATTAAACCCCACCTCTAGTGTGTGTGTGTGTGTATATATCTGGTCTACCTTTTACATGCTCGACAAAAAAGTGAAAAATACATTTACAAAATTTAAACACGCGTGTGTGTGTAGATAAACCAACGACAACGACAACAACAACAAAAAAGCGTATCAGGAATACCGACAAAAACAACAGCATAACGACAACAACGACAACGACAAAGTCAACGACAAAAACCCAACACTTATATATAAATACATCACTTTGGCATACAAATTCTCCATCATTCAAAATGCTTTTACTACGGCACAACACACTTTCATCAAACGACCTTATCACATGTG